GTCACCGGCTCGGCTCCTCAGCGAAAACCTGAATATGCGCTGCATCTGCTGCCTACTTATACTCACGCTGTGATCAGCGGCAGCTGGATGCAATAATCGCATGCCAATGTGCATTGGCTCGTTTAGTTTACACTCGAAGTAGATTGGTCTCTCTAAGCGAGATCCCAATTCGTCGGTCATCCGACGTGACGTCTCCGTTCCCTCCTTCAGGGAACGAGGGTTACCATACGTAACCGAGACGTTTTATTCCATGGCGGAAATAGGCTTCCATATTAATGCTTAATTTTCTTTATGCAAAACAATTTCTTATTTTTTCCCTTTGATTTTGGGGTGATATAATTCAGACATGTTCCTAAAAGATTCACTCACAAAACAATTTACATATGCATTCACACTTTCGAATCAATTCAAATGAGCATCATCTCCTCAGAAGCCTCTAATGTGATTATGTGCATCCATTTATTGAGTTTTAATCATTAAGTCGATTGGCCTTCCATCAATGCTGATCCACTTTCATTATTGTTAATCCATTGTAAACATGCATACTGTATGAGTTCAACCGAACCAATTCTTTCTAATGATTCAGTGGATCTGACTCACAAAACATTTCTTAATGACTGTAAGAGAAAATTTAGTTTAGTAGTAAAACTGTGAGGTGGGTGACATGATGCAAACAACACAGAATATGTAACAGAATCAGCGATACACAGCATTATTTAACTGTTTGTTTTGCTACAAAAATAAAATAAAATAACGAGCTCCTGTTGAATTTCTTCCACATATAGACGGATGAACAGAATTGTACCTTGTGTTGTTTGTGTAGAATTGTGCTTTACACGCTCTACATGTTTGCTGAGGGTAAACACAGGGGAGACGGTGAAGTCTACAGGCACTGAGGAACACTCACCGTGTAATTGGCACACAGCGGGTTGAAAGCGTTTGTCCCGCACACAAACAGCCCTCCATCATGGCTCAACAACACCTTAATATAATTACGACACTCCTCCTGAAGGAAACGCAGAGAAAAAGACAAAAATTACTCTTGTTTTAAACTTATTATATATTACTTCTCCTTGTCAAATTTGAGGTTTGAGGTTGCATCAGATATATTTTGGTATTCAGTATTTTACGGTCAGTATTTTACCATGGGAGCGAATGATTACCATATTTTTATACTACAGTGTTTTCGTTATAGCATTTTCCAAGGTACTTTGAAGGAATAACATGATACATATCCAAGAGTCTATGGTATTATGATGATTCCATGCCCGAAGTACCATGTAATGTAATAAAATAAAAATGTTAATAAACATTAAATAAAATAAAAAATATTAATAAAAAATTAAATACATTTATTAACAACGCTTGCCAATCTCATTTGCCTCGTTTGTATTTTAATAATATTACAGCAGAGTCCAAAGGTCTGAGAGCACATTGAAAATCTGGGATTCAAATCATAATTTATACTTGAAAATAAACAAAATGTTTTAGGTTTAAAACTGAGAGAAAGAGAGAGAGAGAGAGTTTGTATAATTATGTTATCTCAAAATGAATAAACACTATAGAAATGACTATACTTATTAATTATTGTGTGGAAACAGCGGTGATGGTATCAGACTCTCTGTATTTATTTTGCCAGGCTGATCCTCTTTGAATCAGAATGACTTGGCAGGTGTTCCTAAAAGATTCACCCACAAAACAATTTATGTACATATGCATTCACGCTTTCGATTCAATTCAAATGAGCATCATCTCTTCAGGTTCTCCAATGTAATTATGTGTATCCATTTATTGAGTTTTAATCATTTTAATCATCAATCGTCAATTGCCCTTCCATCAATACTGATCCACTTTCATTACTGTTAATCCATTGTAAACATTCTTTCTGATGATTCAGTGGATCTGACTTACAAAGCATTTCTTAATGACTGGACTGTAAAAGAACATTTATTTTAGTAGTAAAACTGTGAGGTGGGTGACATGTTGCAAACAGCACAGAATATGTAGCTTAATCAAAAACAACAATAAACAGCATTATTAATCTAAATGTTTCTTTTGCTACAAAAAAACATTTAAAACAATATAAACGCTGTTGAATTTCTTCTACATGTAGTAGGATGAACAGAATTGTATCTTGTGTTGTTTGTGTAGAATTGCGCTTTACACGCTCTACATGTTTGCTGAGGGTAAACACAGGGGAGACGGTGAAGTCTGCAGGCATTGAGGAACACTCACCGTGTAATTGGCACACAGCGGGTTAAAAGCATTTGTCCCGCACACAAACAGCCCTCCATCATGGCTCAACAACACCTTAATATAATTACGACACTCCTCCTGAAGGAAACCGAGAGAAAAAGACAAGGATTGTCAAAAAAACAAAACATTTTAGGATTCAAACTGAAAGAGAGAGTGAGAGTTTGTATAATTATGTTATCTCAATTGGCATAAACACTATAGAAATGGCTATTCTTATTAATTATTATGTGGAAACATCGGTGATGATATCAGTCTCAGTGTATTTGTTTTGCCAGACTGATCATCTTTGAATCACAATGACTTGGCAGCATTTGACTTTCATGTCATTTAACAAAGTCATTTGAATCCTAATTAAAATTTGGGTGAAGGAGAGAGAGATGAACAAAAACAGTGTGTGTGTGTGTGTGTGGGGTCACACATGAAAGGGTAGGGTAAGACGGAGAAAAGAATAAGGCTGTTAATATTGACACAGCTTCACAAGTCATTTTCCCCCAGACATCATTATTTTGAGAGCTGTGTTTGTTTTGGAAGACAGACAGCAGAAATAAGTAGGTCCCAGCTTGCAGCTCCACCACAGAGCCCACACTGTGGGCATCATCCAAAAACATACATTTTCTCCAGGTTTTTACATTGTATTTGGACTAGATTTGCACAATGTTGCTGCACGTCTTTGTGTAGCACAGAAACAGGAAGTAGCTGGACTTGAATGCATCACGATGTGGGTCCAGCTATAAAAGCAGTCCTGAAAGCTACTGGATAGCCAGCTGCGAACACTCATGCATCAGGAATGCCTTTGTTCCCTGACGGACATCAATGGAACGTTTTGAAGTGATTTTGTGTATTTTGCTGAAACCTGGGCCCCATCACGCAGCTCCACCATAGGGCCCATTCACTGCTCTGCCCATTGAGTTTGACTGGGCCTCCTGGTGGAGCTGAAACCCTGAGGGGGCCGACACTGAGGTCAGGCTCTTTGAGGTGATTAGCAGGACTGCCGAGGGTCTATGTGTTGTTACAGATGCAGGTCCACTGTTCGCTGTGTGCGTGTGTTTGCACAAGAGATGTCGTTACAAATGCATTCAAGCTGCTCACAGCGTTACACACACACTCCCTAGCGACAGATCAACTTACAGCGTGTGTGTGCATGTGTCTGAATAGCAAGAAGGACAGGGATCTTTTCATTTTTGATAAGCTGAAGTGTGTGCGTGCGAGTGAGAGCATATAAAATGACACAACCTTTCACCTCTTATTATCGTGAGTATTTCCACCTGGATGCTGTGAAAGCTATATTGAGGTATGCTCTAACATTACCACATCAACACTGCCAGTTTCTTCCCTCTGTGTGTTTTTCTGAGTGATCATCAGGATACAATGCAAATAACGGCAGCAAATTAAGCAACGATTTGCCCATAATTACCCACCAATTAGAAGACAATACGGCTGATCTTCACCCTAAAACTGAACTCAGGCAGAAAAGTGTGTTGAGAAGAACATTAAAAGCATTCACAATAAATGTAACTTCTGTCATGTGACATTTTCAAGCGCAACTGAATATTTAGCTCTGAATAATGTACTGCCTGGCGGGATGTCTTGATTTTATGTTCTTGATTGGATTGTAAAGTAAGGCAATGGTATTACTGGTGCTTGCTAAGGCAGCTGTTGCTGTTTTACAGAAGGCAACTAGAAACTATTCCTCATTCTTTGATGAGAAGAGATTTAATACTACTTTTCTAACTATTATGAATGTAACTGAATGTAACTGAATGAATGTAATAGGCTTGACTACTTATCATTCCCAGACGGACCGGGTCTCTTTCAGTTGGGCTCAGTCAGCAGATGAAGTTGTGTGGTGTTGAGAGATATTAAAATCTTAAATATTCAAGAAACCGTTGTTGCCAGTCATTTTCACAAAGATTTTTCTAAATGTATAATATTTGCAACTGATGCCAGTGATTGCATATGGGCATGTGTCAAACATAATTCATTAATTTTGTCAAATATTATTTCTTGATTACACATCTTGTTTTGATGTTTCTTTCATTTCATAAGTTCACATTGCAAGGATTTAGGCTATTTGTTTGTTCTGCAGTCGAAAAAAGTGAAATAAATTAAGAATAGTTAGTGATTTCAAAAACATTATCAAGAATAATTTTATTTCGATCTGCAGTCTAAAATATTGTTCATAGTGAGTTTAAAAAATATGACACCTGTAAATAAAATAATGTAATTATATATAATATAGTTTTGTGTCAATGGATGAGGAAATTACAGTGCGTTGAATAACTCTGCAGCTCTTCTGTCAACAGTTAGAGAGCAGTGTTATAAATAGCACTGGGAGCATTAACATTTGCTGTAGACTACTAAAAAAAATGAAAGAGACAAACAGCAATTTTAAATGACTGTTGTGTCTGAATAAATGGAGCCGTAATTATTTAATTCTGGAACTGCAACAAAAAAATCCTATAGTTTTTGCTTAGAACCTATTCATTTTTAATACCTGATTGTAGACATACATGAGAATAACGAATAGATTATTGCTTGACTATAAGTTTAAAAACAGTGCTAGAAATGTTATAATGAACAAAATTAAATATATCTCAAAAGACATGAAAGACACGTCTACTCTGGCAATAATGAAAACAATATTCAAGACACATTGCTGTGATATTTATTAACAACACCAACATAAGAGGATAGATAATGTTAAGCACGAACTAAGAAAAACAAACCTTGAATGTTTCAATAATTAAATAAAAGCACCGCTGTGTGCAGTGTTGTCTTTGGTGGGATGGGAGCAGCTGTAAATCATATAATCAGATTTTTTAAACTTTTTAAACTGCACAAATTGCACAGCAAATAAATACTGCTAGCTGTCTGTTGACATCCATGTTTGTTTTGATACGGGTTTTGGTATGCAGTTAAATTATCATGAGATTTCGTGACTTGCACCAGTCATTAAGTGTGTCGTGTAGTGCACTGATTCAGTCATTAGGTTTGTGCTCCTTTCTGACTGTCAAAGACTAGAATCTGCTCCAGTCAATGGAAACAATTTAACTTTAAAGGGGTCATATGATGCGATTAAATAATGTTCTTTTTAGCAGCATCATATGACCCCTTTAAGTGTGTTGAGTTCAATTTTAGAATGTTCCAGTTGTATAGTGTGTGTCCCCAGCTCTAGTCAAGCCCTAGCCAGGGTTGCCAGGTCTGATTAAAAAAAAACGGCCCAACTGCTACTAAAAACTACCCAGGGGAAACTGGCTGTCAAAATCCCATTCCAGGTACGGTGGGGTGGGGTGGGGTGGGGGTCGAAATTGCATTCTGGGGGACGGGGTGGTTTGCTTCATCCCATGGACTAAATAAACAACCTGCGGCAACCAACCTGGTCTCATAAAAATACGTACCTCTGGGTACTTTTCTGCAACACCGTTTTTATGTACCTTACTGCACGTTTCGCCGCAGTTTCAAAGAGAAAATTCCACTGAGTGGTCCAAACCCAACCCTAAACCTACCCGATAGTGTTAACAAATGCAAAACTGATATAAAAATGCATTTGTTGATGCAACCGTTCCATTTGAACTTCCTTATATGCAGATTTGAACGGTTTTGTCGAACCGTAGTTACACGGGATTCGAACCGGAGCTCCTCACCTCTCAAGTACGTCTCCGTACACATCTATGAAAACTCATAGATATGACGCTGGAAATGTGTGATGCTAACATTCAACAGCATCAGTTTTCAAATCTCCCACCATATTAAAATAGTTTTGAAGTCATAACATAATATTTTTCAAGTAATTGTGCGAAAATTATGCTTTATTAATCGAAACTCTGTAAATTTGTGTGAAAAGGAATAAAAGGTGTCGGAGTTTTACTGCCTCTAGTGTTCATTTCTTTTGGAAACTGCAGTGATATGTACTTATTGGTACGTATTTCGCGTCTCGCGGAAAAGTGCCCCCAGGTACGTTTTTGCCATGAGACCAGGAAGGCGGCAACAGTAAAAAAAAGTAGCCCTATTTCGTTGGAAAACTGTGGACTTGGCAACACTGGCCCTAGCAAACTCCTAGCAAAGCCCTAGCAACCTACTGGAAAATTCCTAGGAACCAGGCAAAGCCCAAGAAACCACCCAGAGCCCCTTTCATTCGATGTTTTGCACAGACAAGCAACACTCAGTATCTAGTTGGTTAATATTATGTTTCCCCGCCCACAAGGCCTTGCTTACATCATCAGGATAGGAAATCTGTTTTAGCTGAGTAAACGGAATTTTTGATGGACATTTTTTCATTAGTATAATGTGCACTAATGAAGACTAAATTAAGACTAAGGACATTTGTTAAGAAAGAAAATAAGCTCAATTTTGGCGTCACGTTGTCTTGAAGCCCATCTATTCCCATCCGGACTCACAGGTACATCATAAACATCCAGCTGAACGTGAGCAGAACGCAAACTCTCTGCAGGGGTGGGGAGATCTTACGTTCCGCTTCATAAACTGTAAAATTGAATTCATCAGAGATGCAGGTTTGCGAGCGGGTCGATCCGTACACCCGTCAGAGGTGTAAAAAGCAGGTTTCGCTCTGGGGAAGAGCACATGTGTTTCAGGTCTCTGTGAAACACCATCAAGAAAGTGTCAAGATTTATCCTTCAGATTAGAGCATGTGACAAGGCAGTATACGATCCCCGGCAGACTCCTTTCTGCTCTGATCAAAGTCTGACTTCTCCTCCCTTACTCCCTCACTCTCCTTTCTTTCTTCTCATCTTCCTCACTCTCCACCACTCCTTGTTCTCTCTCTGCATGTCTCCTTTCGCTCCCGTTCCTCCCACTCCAATTGCTTTTCACTTCTTTCTGCACCAAAATCACTCGCTGTCAGATCACAACACATTTAGTACTTAACCATATAAAGTTTCGTACAAAAGATTCGTCTAAAGGATCCAACTATTTTGCTGAAAAGCTTGTCGTACACCATCTACTGCATGCCTTCTGTTGTCTGATTGATAGTTTAGATGTTTTAGCAAGTAAAAAGCCCTTTAGTATAATTGTAAAAACATAAACCTTCAGTTCATGGTTTACGTACCTTTTTACTGTTAAAAACCTTACTGATTTTTATAAAGTAAGCGTAATAACCTATAACTATATTGTTGGTAATATTTCAAGATGAACACTTACTGGACTGAAGCAACTTGACTGTCTATATATAATGGAGAATTTGAGAAAAATCATGTTAAAATATGAGTATCAATATCAAATATGATCATCAGGCTTTTAAGGAACATTTATTTGTTCATCTCTCAATCATCATCGTATTTCATAGAATTATATGTTTTGCCCCCAGAACAAAAACTACAGAGGATTGTAAAGATAAAAATGAGCATTTAAATATCATCTTACTAAGACATACTAATGGGAGATATAAAGTTATATTTATATGCATAAACCAATATTTATATGTATATTATGCAAACAAATTTTCTGTTATACTGATATAAAGCTATAAGAATTTTATGTTATTTTTGGCATATAAATATTAGCAACTACATCAAATTGCATACTTTTGCTCAGTTTGGGCCTCTAAAGACCATAAAGGTGTTTTTGCCTTCGATTATCACCCATATGGAAACTATGTATATATGCATATTTATTAAAATAATAATACAGTTGAAAAGGAACATACACAAGAGAGAAATCATAAATGTGTAAACGTGAATAGAGTAAATGTGAATGTTTACACACAAGAAGCTGAAGTTTAGATCAAATTTCAATGCATTAAAAAAAATAAATAAATCAAACGGTTCACATACTTTTTCCTGCAGTTTTATAGCTCCTAACAATTATCTCACTTTGCCTATTTTATTTCTCCTAAGACATTTTTTACAAAACATCTGTGACAAACCTGCTCAAGTGCCTTGAGCTATAAAACAGCAATATCAGAGCAATAAAATTTTCTTCATGGCCGAGGAAAATTATATTCAGTGAATCGCTCATGAAGGGACCCCGTTGCTCATTTTCATTCAGAACGACCCCACAAATGAAGTCCTCTTCCTGCAGTGCCCTTCAAGACAATAAAAATGACAATTGGAACTCATCGAGAGAGAGAACCGATACTCGAGAGGATGTGAGTGTATCTATTACATCTCACACACAGACACACACATTTCTATATCCCTATACGAGTATCACAGGCAGCAGATGTGATCTTGCTGTAGTCACTGTGTTATTGCTGTAGAAATCTGTTTATCTTGCACTTCATAAAAGCCAATCAAAACTGCACGAGTGACAGCCAAACGCAGTAATTCAACTCCTGCGTCTTCATATGAATTACGAATGATCCATTTATCCACCTCTGAAGATGTTATTGTGATTTAATGCACTACCGCCAACGCTTACACTTAAACTGTTTTGAACTGGTTACTTTTATACCAGGTGCGGTGCAATTACAGTACTTTCTAGTTTTAAGTTGTTTATCTGTGCATAAAGAAGGCAAAATGCTGCACAAAGCAATACATTTTAAATACTATTATAGTATCTAATAATATTTTATTAACTTTTATTTTTAGATTTTTTGTCATTTTGGTTTAAGTTTGAGTAATTTTGTGATTTTGTCATTTTTATTTCTATTTAGATTTAATACATTTATTTCAGTTTTCATTTTATTAATTTTATACTTTAACGTATTAGTTTAGATATTTCACTTGTTTGCAAAGCAACATTTTCATTTGTTTTTTTATATTTGTAAGTTTTTCATGTTTCAGTGTTCAGTAAAAAAATGTTTTAGTAATTTGTTGTTATTTTTTCAATTTATATTTTGTTTTTATTTAGATTTACTTATTTATTTCAGTTTTCATTTGAGTAATTTTAATACTTCGTCTTATTATATTTCCGTTAACTACCAAGGCAACACTTATTTTCAGTTTCCATCTAATTAATATTTCAGTTTTCATTTAAATTTTCCTTAAAATTTGAGAAAAATGGTTATATTATTTTGTCATTGTTATTACTTTTAAAAAATATTCCTATTTAGATTTCATTTAATTTTCGTTTTATGTTTTAACACTTCAACTACAACATATTTCAATCAATTGTCATTTCTGTTTAAGTTATAAGTATAAGTTTAAGTGTTTTTCATCATTTCAGTTTTCATTTGAATTAGGTTCTATAGTAAATGTTTAGTAGTTTTATTAATTTCTTTTTAAACATTTCAATTTGGATTTAATGTATTTATTTCAGTCATCATTTTAGTAATTTTAGTACTTCAACTTCAATTCATCACTATTCACTTAATTGCCAAGGCAACATTTCTCATTTATATAAGTATAATTTATATATTTAATATATACATTTGATGTTTATTTTTTATTTCAGCTGTATTTCAATTTAAAAAAATAGTTTTTAATTGTCTTAGTTTTAACAACAATTCTCTTCACATGAACACAATGCTATTTTACAGATCCTCACTGTAGTAAGTGTGTGTGTGTGTGTGTGTGTGTGAGGAGTCAGAATAAGGATATTGAATTTCCTCCCTCATTATGAAATCATGTCAGCTTAAATCAAGCAGCAAGAACACAATTACTGCAGGAACACATGCTACATCAGATCGAACACATTTCATCTGGCAGCACTTTCTAAAGTCCATCTAATCTTATTCCAGAGCATATGAAGTGCAAAACCCGGCTTCAGTTTTAGGTCTGCTATCAGTGGTGTGTGGAGGTGTGCGGTCAGATCTCTGACAGAAGGACGGATAATTGGACGTGCGTCTCAAATGGACTTATTTCTGGTCCGTCTGCGCTAATATTCTGTCAATCTCACACAATTAGAGGCGAAGGCTGTGAAAAACCGGTTTATAGTTTGAGGTAATTAGCGATCACGAACAAAAACAACACGGAAAGAGCAAGAAAGAGAAAGCGAGAAGCAGAGAGCATGAGAGCCTGTTGCAGAACTTGCCGGAGGCAGAGATTCGCAGGTGCGTGTTTGATGTCTCAGATTTGTGCGAACATGTGGGTGGGTGGCAGACAGGTCTAATTTGTAAGCTCCCTCTTGCCAAACAATAATCCTTGTCCAGGTTTGACACTCAGTCCCTTGAAGTTCTCTCCCCTGCAGTCATACACACCTATTAAAATTGCCTGGTTTGCGAAAGAGCAGGAAAGCACGACTCTTACATTATGAAGGTGGGAAGAAGGCAGAAGGTAATTAGCTTCTGAACTGAAGAATAAGAACAGATTTATCACAAAAACATCAAAGAGAGACATAATCGAGTCTGAGGTTCAGACGTGAGAACCGACTGCGGCTTGCAAAAACAGGCCTTTGCAAACTCTGAAATCTTCTCAAGTTAAAGAGAATATTAAACAAAGAGTTCAGGAGAATTATTTGGGCAGGGCAGATCAAGGGTCAATGTGAAAAAATGCACAAAATCAACTACTTAAGTTGCAGAATGCGTGGGACTCGAGATGTGCTTTCAAAAGTTAAAGTATTTTTCCATTCATGCTGACTTAAAAATGCAATACTCGTAGCAGGACGCTCAAAAAAAACAGCGCAAGAACTGACACAAAGTCCAAAGATGTCTGAAAGTGTATGGCTGCAGCAGTGGTGATTTAAAGACTAATTAAAAAAAATAAAAAAGCATAAAAAAAAGCATGACGTCATTATGCTAATTCAAATATAATATGCTAATTAAAAAAAAAGAGAAAATCACTAATTGCTAAACAGCAATTGCCGTTTAAAATTAGTGCTGTCAAACGATTAATCGCGATTAATCGTTTGACAGCGCTATTTAAAATATGATTTAAAAAAACTCCAGGTTTGCTATGCTTGTTTGTAGGGCTGCACAATTTGGCACAATTTTAGTAGTATTATAAATACTATTAAAGTATCTAATAATATTTTCAATCATCTTTCATTTTCAATTTTTATTGTAATTTGTCGTTTTATAATTTATCTATATTTAGATTTAATTATTAATTTCAGTTTTCATTTTACACATTTTAGTACTTCAACTTCAACTTCTTATATTTCAGTTTTTGCAAAGGCAACATTTCTCATTTTCATTTGCTTTTTATAGTTCTAAGTTTTTCAAATGACCTATGGCTAAAAGAATGATGTCATTATGCTAATTAAAATATAATATGCTAATAAAAATATAAAATATATTTTTAAACAAAGAGAAAAATCACTAAGTAATCGTCCACAATAAGGCTAAAAGCATCCGCTGAGAGGCCAGAGTGATGTTTCCTTGTCAAACTGCAGAAATAAGCCAAATCCTTATATTGTACATGTACTCTCCGGGAGAATTTATTTGTATGAGACTGTATCCAGCTCTGCCACAGGTTTGAAACATCGAGCTCCTGGCAACAGTAAATCACTCAAAGTGCTGTGAATGAATTTCCTCGCTAAGACGGTGCTAAAATGGCCGTGAAATGTGAAAAAAAACTGAACGCTCTGGCACTGAACGCTCACCTCGTGTTTGCCCTTCATTCTACAGATGCGGATGTCATTCTTATTGGATTCCCACGTCCTTTTCTGTGAAACAACAAGGGAGTAAAATCATTACCTACATTCAAGGTAAAATAAGCAAGGTGTTCATACATGCAATTGTGTGTGTGTGTGTGTGTGTGTGTGAGAGAGAGAGAGAGCAGTACAAGGGCTCACCTTGCTGTAGAACATTTCATCTCCAGATACATGGTCCAGTTCCACTCGATAAAGGTCATCTCTGCAGCAACACACACACACACACACACACACACACACACACCCACATACGAAGACCAGCATTAGCAGTAACAATGAAAATGGGCCTTAATTTAACATTAAAATACTGAATACTTTCCGTACTGTAGTATGCACTACACAATAGAGGTCTACACGGAGGACCCGAGGACCCGGGACCCGACCCGGGATCCGTACGGGTTCGGGGCTATATTTTAAATGGTCAGCCGGGTCCGGGTCGGGTCCCAATCCATTACTTCGGGTCCCGGGTCTGTTTAACATTGTGTGTAATACCCGAGTCGATCGGACTACTTTCAACGTGTAAAATTAGGATGAGAAAAGTGTGAGTCGGTAATTTGAAATAAGGTGGGAAAAAAAGAAAACCCGAGCGACGTCATCAGAAGCAGGGTGGGCGGAGTTACTGCACACGCACGGTGATAATGTGTGTCATGAGTGATGTGAGTTATTATTGATTATTTTTTAAAATAATATTATGAATGAACCATCTTGTTGTTATATCTAAAAGTTTTGCTCAGACTCGGCTCAGAGAGCACAGAGATGATAGCAAATAAGTAAAGCTAACGTCAGCAGCCATGGCACTGGACGAGCAATCGTTATTATAATCCAAATGGGCAAACAGTCTAAATTATTATGCAAGTTGACTCGAGATACAAAAAATGCAAAAATGCAAAGTCGCATTTGTCATCCGTCACTGTGACAGCAAGTGGACTTTTGAAACTGGAATAATGAGTGGATTACGCATTTCAATTGGCAAGAGAGGAATAACACGGATGGAACTTTCTTGGCAAGGAGGATTGTGTAGCCTACATCACAGTCAGGTACAAGGGAGAAGGCTTCTTACATTAGGCATAAGTTTAATTTTCGCAACTTGTTTATCGACTTGTTAATAGCAATTTGCTGTGGAATATGTGCCGATCGGGTCCAGTCGGGTCTGTGTCTTCCCGGCCGGGTTCGGGTCCATCTTTCAAATAATTGACGGTCCGCGTCGGTTCCGGGTAGTACATTTTTGAAATTTCTCGGTTCTGCACGGGCCCGGGTCCAACTTTTAAAATAATAGACGGGTCTGGGTCGGTTCAGTGTAGCACATTTACGGGTCTCTTCGGGTTCGGGTACAAATTTTTGGACCCGTGTAGACCTCTACTACACAACACACACAAACATAAAAAAAAAAAATGTAAACAGTAAAAACATCCTTGAAATAAATAAATGAACTAAAAATGCATTTACTTGAGAAGCAAATTTTATATAATGGTAATGAGAGTTGTTTTCAGTAAACATATCTACTATTTATGAAACTTATTTGGTTTATCCCATTTTCTTGTTTTGAGCATAAAGCTACCAAAAATAAATTAGGTTTATGCTTAAAAAAATTAGTAAAAATACTAATACTAATTAAAAATAACAATACAATAAAAATAATTGAAGACATCTTCAAACAATCTAATATTTTGCTAAGTAAATTTACCAATGCAACTGCCATGTACTAGTTGTTATAGTTAACTAAAACATATTAATAATTGTTTTTGTTAATAAAGCTAAAATAAAATAAAATATAAATATTGGATGAAAACCTAAACGTAAAACTTAGAAATGTTGAACTGAACTTAAATAAAGTATAGGTTAAAATATTAAAATGACTAAAATTCAAATAAATATAAATGAAAGCTAAACAGAAATGATAAATACATAAATAAATAAATGAAAATGACAAAAGCACATAACAAAAGTACTAAAAATGAAAATGATAGCTGATAATATAAAAACCTATGGTAATATTTTTAAATAATATTAAGTACTAAATAGTATATAAATAATATCAAAACAACAGTCATGTAAACAATAACTTATATCAATACACAAAATCATGATGTTACATGTCCCAAAACTTACTACATGCTCAAGAATAGTTTCCCACTGGCAGTGAAGTACATAGTGTAGCATAGAGAATATTAGAAGCATGCAAATCAAATTACAGCCTAAATCATGTGACTAACTTGAGACAAGACAGAAAGTCTGTGAAGATATATTTCAGCACATAACACACTGAAGCACTAAAGGGTTTTGATAAAACATATCCATCAACCTGTCTATGAGAACAGTCTATATTTGAGTTCTCAGCTCTGGAGATGCCAGCCTCAGAGTTTTGTGGTGACAGGAACCGGTTTATAAGAGTTTCAACTTTCCAGAATGTGTAAGAGAGTTTATAAGAGTGCTCGGAAACTCAAGATAGGCTATATCTGTTCTCTAGCTTCAGAGAAAGCAAGCGTTTAAGCGGCTCGACTGTGTAATGGTTAAAGGTCAGCGAACAGGGGTTTAACTTTCAACCAGGACCACATGTCAACTCCCTCGGGAGTCCAAACCCTTTGAAGGCCTGTCCATGTGACCGATTTCAAAGATGTAACTAAATGTAACACCAGTCAAACTGGACACAGATTTCCCATCAAAACATCCACACGCACTCTCTGACTGTGTGGAGAGAACATGCTGTTATACGGGCTGATGGTGTTGAGCTATAAGGACGGGGTGTTCATGTCAGAGCTTTGAAACGTAATGACATTTTCTCATTGTGTAACCTGTCATTTACGTTTAAGACCAATTAGGTACCGAGATGGTGTAGCGAAATAGAAAGGTTTTAATAACAGAGAGGATATTATATTCATGTTATATTAATTCAGAATGTAAAACTTTGTTACTGCGTGAATAGAGTGGGTGGCATTAAAGCTCAAATTAACATCTTGATGACTAAAAATGTTGTCAGTTACCACCACGGTTATTGAGATAATTATAGTAAAAGATTTTGGTTAATTGACGTGAAGCCGAAATATAAAATCTAAAAATATGAGAAGAAAAACTAAAAAATTAGAAATGTTGACATGGCAAGTTGAAGCACTAACATTATTAACTGGAAATAAATAAAAACTCAAATTGAACTAAAACTAAAACAGCATTAAAAATAAATTAAATCTAATCATGAAAAAAATTCATAAAAATATTAATAAAATAATAATAATAAAATACCAATAAAATGGCAAGAGCACATTTCAAAATGACTAAAAGTTGAACTTAAAATGAAAATGAAAATATAAAACTAAAACATTTTATATAAAAATTAAATATTATTTAATATTTAAAATAATAAAATAAAATAAAATGTAAAAATATGATATTACAGTTTTTATTAAATTAAATTGCAAAAAAATTATAATTTTTTTACTAACAATAATATATTAATAATACCAAAATAACAATGATTACAACATAAAATAATTCACTTCTTCCTTAGTACAGTATGTGCAACTATATGCAAAATAAATATGTCTTTATTTTGCTTGCCCTTACAAGTTGTGCAATATGCAAAATATATAGAAAAATTATTTACAATTTGAAGCGTGTATTGTTGAATTGTTGGCATTACCTGGCTCCGATGTAGAGCGTGCGGTTGACTTTCAGGACGGTTTGAATATACAGCGGCTCCTGACGGGTGTAAGAGCGATGCGCTCGGCCCACAAACACTGGATAGCGCTTCACCACTGACAAATAAAGAAACAGAGAGAATTCAGAAGAGAGGAAAATCAAAATGTGGAAAAATGACTAGCTGAGATGGAAGACAGAGACATTAGGGGCACCCAAACAAAAGAGCCAAAATATGAAGTATGGATGGATGAAACAGACACTAAAACACATGTCCATCACTTTCCCGGAAGAGTTAGAGATGGAGAACCTCTGAGACACGAAGAAAGGACAAAGACATACATCACTGAGTCTTCGTCGTGCAGAGTCCAAAAACAAGCTGTCTTCAAGCGAAAGTTCACTCAAAAGCAATAAATCTGTCATGTTTACACACCCTTATGTTGTTACAAACCTGTATGATTTTATTTTATTCTAAAATATTCTGCCTGCTCTTTTCAAAGCAATTACAATGAATAGAGAATAAAGATTCAGAAGCATCACAAGCTTGGTATATACAACTTGTGTGCTACTGTATATTCCAAGTCATATGATAGATTTTTGTAACAGGAATATGCATCATCACTCACTGATAATAATACATTACAGTGAACTGTTAACCACTTAGACTGGATCATTGAATCAGTGAGTTGAACTCAAGAACTGAATCAGTTCAATTCATGAATGAATCTTTTAGTCTGTTTTTGAACTGATTCACTGAAAAACATAAACGATTCAACGAAAATAATGATTTGTTCACATTATGAATGTGTCACGTGGACCACTTACATAGATGTTACATACTAATATGAAATATGCACTTTTAAGGTACTTTTTTGTCATTTTAGAACTTGAAAGCCCCAGTTCTAATTTACTTAAAGGTGACATATCTATATAAGTGCTATAATCAGGTCCCCGGTGTATCTACCAACCAAGGAAATGTGAAAAAGATTAACCCAGTAACTTTGTTTTGGGAAGACTTTTTCTGCAAGCTTATGAGAAAACGAGCGCGTCTGATTTCGCTCTCTTGGTGACGCGGCAAAGATCTCATTATAATATTACCGCCCCTTAATCTGTAAGTTTACACCCACGGCGCCGTTATTGTGTTTTCGC